GTGTGTGATTAATAAATCTGTCGAGAAGCAGGAGCTAGCATTATGAGGTCACTGCTTGCTCTCTGAGAACGAGAAGGCTGTGTCACACTGCAGGAGTGGAGAGATGTCAAGAGTCTGATTGTCGTCACCAAGCCACAGTGACCCTGTCTCCCGCAGAGCCTGCAGAGGAGAGAAACCAAGAATATTGCATCCTCGCATTCTCTGGACTGTATTTGAAATGGCACAGACTTAGACCATTAACACTTCGCCCTGGGGAACAGCTGCAAGGCACTGTGGGTTCATCAACCCAGTGCATAAAGAAATCAAGATTCACCCAGTGAGAGAGAAAAGTGTCTCTTTTATGCGCACATATTTTTGTGTCTTTTTTTTTGTTTGCTGACCTGGTTAAATACAGTACATAACTGACTCTAATTGAAATTGTAAGGTTCCAACTTGCTTACGGGATTCGAATACCGATACACAGGAAAAATCGACTTTTAAAATAAGTAGCCTCAGTAAAACACCAAGCACATAAAGGAACTGAAATAAACAACTCCATGCAGGTAACTTGGTCAGATGTAGATGATCACAGAAAAGGTTGCCATTTATCCTACAGGTGTAAGCAAAAAAAAATCAATTCATATATGCTTTGGGTTGCTCTTATTTATACAGCAAGGCCCTTTAAAACTTGCCCTATTGCACAGATTCCGAATGACCAAATATTTATTATATAATATTGAATGATACAAGTCTTATCATCGTTACTTTAAGGAATTAATCTATAAGAAAAGCTGCGCTAGTGTGGTTTTTGTCGAGAGCATTTTAAGAACGTTCACAGCTACTGTAACTCACACACATTCAGAACAAAAACCAGACTGTGTATCAAATAAAATGTAACAGATGTATAAAAAAGAGCTTAGCTGCTTGTTAACAATTTGTCCAAGATCTTGGGAAGGCAAGACATACAGTACGTCTATAGCAGTTAGGGTCTGACATCCAGTCTGTGGAAAGGGTTCTCCGGAGTTAATACCAGATGGGCAACAGGTTCTACAAAAATGTTAATACCATCAAGACTAGCAGACTTATTAGTGTTAATATTACAAAGTTAAGCGAATTTTGCTGACTCAGCGACTAACTGCCTGTGTCTGGAACAGAGGTTGTCAGCTCTGCTCCTGTGAGACCACTGTCTGATGGGATGTGTCCCAGCTGGGCCCTTAAGCACCACTGCTAACGGGAACAGACCTGCTCCCTCTTTTTTCTACACTTAGCCCCTAGTGTCAAAAATAGCCAAATTAAAGCAGATTATTTCCAGCAACTCCAGCATGCAGAGGTTTATGCAGTCTCTCTGCAACATTACAGGTATTCAAATTCCTCAAACCCATGACAGAGATTTCTTGAAAACGAACAGTGAAAAGCGAACTAGAGGAAACTTGCTTACATGAAAGTGAATTTAAAACTCTGAGCAGGAGGTACTTCTTTACCAGAAGACTTGTAGGAGTCTGGAACAAGCTTCCCATCTACATTGTTAAATGTCCTGGTTTCTATCAAGAAACATCTGGATACGTCTCTGGGATCATGGAACTACTAACTGCTGAATAGGCCAGATGGTCAAAAGGCTTCCTCTTGCCTGTAGCCATGCTTATATTCTTAAGCTAATTAGTAATTTGCTTCCTGATTTCTGACTAAAATGCTCTTAACGGGTCATCAATTTGGGGTGAACAGACCCAGGACGGCTTGACCATGTATCACACGTTCCTAGTTTACACTGCATCACATTTCACATTTCAGGAGTTCTAAAACTCACGAACTGTACAGGTTTGATATGAATTGCCAACCCCATAGAACATTTGAAGAAACATCTAAAATAAAAAAAAAATAACAAATTTCCTGCAACTGATACATAAACCAAAAGACACAATGGTCTCCAAGACCTTGGCTGAGAACCACCAGAAACACTCAAAAGAAAAAACTATAACCTACTTGCGCATACCAGCACTTCAAGCTCAGCATTTCTCATATTTAAGATGTATGGGTTTTTTGTCTTCCTGTATGTAACATTCAGCCAGTTGTTTTTTCCTTCCCATCTTTTGCTAAATTTACTAGTTTACTAACTACATTGCAATTCAGAATGCCTGCATTATTAAGGAAGATAAGTGGTCCTAAGATCCCTATGGTACTACAATAGTTCAACCGAATTTGAGCATTTATCCCCCTTATCTGTTATTCATACTATCCATTAACTGTGTCCAAATATATCATCTTGAATTGCTACCACATGCAATTAAACATTTTTTATTATACATTACATTAAATGGTTTGTGAAAATCAATATCAAACACTGTTTGCATCCAGGAATACTGTTGCTTGTTCATTAGCTAGTGTGACCAACCTTTCCCATTGCTCAACCCCTATAAGCTTATTACCGCTTATGACTTCTAATCATCATTTTTATACCCTTACATGTAACTCTAGTACTGGGTGTATTGGTCTGTAACTATTTAGTTTGGTTTTGTGGTTTTATTTCACTTTTGTGGTGGAATAAGCACTACGTTATCAAAAGGTAAGCAAATCGAAATGTATTATTCCTCATCCTGAGTAAGGAATTAAGTTGAAGAATTTTGCTAACAAACAAAAAGTATAATATCTTGTTTCCTTATGTTCAATTGCTACAATGCCATCAGCCACTGCTGATTTCTTTATCAGAAATGCAGTATTACTGAATATAGAACTGTTTCTTTCTACCTCAGCCTGACCCATGTTGATAATTTCTTTCTTAGTAAAGGGCTGAGTGAAATATTAACTTAATACATTATCCAATATCCCAGCTTTTTTCTCAAGTTTTCTCATTTCTGTCTCTGAAACACGTTACTATTCTTTTGCAGTCGTGGTACTGAAAGATCTTTTTATTATTTTTTTAACCCCCACAGTTAACTCTCTGCCAGTCTTTCTAATATCTTTTTTCACCTGTGCTGAGGGTTAATCACATTCATTTTATTTAAAAAGATCCAGTTTGACAACTGCTGTCTAGCTGTGAATTTCCTTTCTCTTGGTGTGAATCTCCTTGAATAACCTTAAACTGCTGTCATCCATTCTCTACTGATTCCATATCTGTCCTATCCCATTCTATTTCTCTCAAGCTGTGTTGCTCCTTCGTCCTGTTTTCCTGGAATTAGCAGTTACCCAGATGTTCTTCTTATGGAAAAGGGAACTGAAACTGAATCTTTTATCCTGCAGCCCCGTGGGACACTGCTGGGGAGGATCTGGGCCTAGTTGAAGCACCGAGAGGAAATATATTTGTTCTGAATGTACAGCTGCTTGTGCCTCATGATAAAAACTCCACTGTAGTACTTTGGTTGAACCCTATCCCCAGCCAAGAAGTCTCACCATGATGAAAAAGCCTCAAGAAATATTGTGATGCCAGCCCTTCTTTTCTTACTAAACACTTCCACTTACCATGTCTCTGGTTTAGCTCTGACCAAAGGGAATCAAGAAACTGCAGCCGGTTGCTCAAAAAAACAACCTCTTTAGTTTCAGTTTGGCAGAAACAAAGCAATACAGTTTAACAAGATGTCTTTTTTTTCTGAAGAGGGCAAAGAACAGACTGCCATTGGCTGACCTGAAACTGAAATATTTTAGATGCACTTTAGAGAAACTGTAAGAACATAAGACGGGTAACAGATGAAAGGAGGCCATCCAACCCATCCAACTTGTTTGGTTGCGAGTACCTAACCAGTCCATGGATCTCATCCGACCGTTTCCTGAAAGACGCCAGTGTATCAGCTTTGTCAACATGGCTGGGTGACTTGTTCCATACTCCCACGATCCTTTGTGTAAAGAAGTGCCTCCTGTCATTTGGTTTTAATTGCTCTTCCACATTGTTTCCACTTGTGTTCCCTGGTTCACATTTCACTGGTCATTCTGGATAACTGATAATAATGGAAATATCTCCCACAAGGCTACTCCAAAGCATAAAAATGATACACAAACATTCAAGCTTTTTGAACGCTAGCTCAAGGAGCTCAAACGCTGCCAACCACAGAAGTCATCATGGTGTGAGCCCTGATTTGCTACTACTGTATATAAACTAGAAGTAACTGCGCGTTGCGTCCTATATTATTTTTCCTGCATTGTCAGTATAACGGAAATAAGAGGTCGCCAGGTCCGTTACCATCTTATATGTGTTCGCGTTATTAATAAATTTGCCCTTAGTAATTGTACGGGTAGTATCTCGACTGTTTTATTTGATTAATCAGTCACTGAACGAAGTATTTCAAAATAAACTGCAGTACAGCATTTCCTGAGCTTAACACCCATGTCAAAGTTGTCGGAAATAAAATGTTTTTTATCTAAAACTGCAATGGAAATGTAGCCTGGGGGTGGAACCTGTATCTGCCTCCCTCTGCCGCTCCCACTACACCACGACTTGCTCGTCCCAGCTGTGAGTTTTGGACTTCGCACAAGCCAATCCTGTGTCACGAGTTGAACTTGTCAGCTTGTGTAGTTGAACAAGGTTTTGATCGCAGTTACACCCCAAACATTATCCAGATGGGATTTCATAAACCTAAAGGCTTTATATACTTTAATCGTATACTGTACAGACGGTATGAATAACCTGAATTTGCTCCTATTTCTACTAAATATATGCAGTATTAGACAAAAATATAAACACCTTTAAAGAAGGAAATAAGAGAAAGAGAAAAATAGGAAATTCATTTATATCAGGCTGCTGGTTTTATATTGCATATATCTGCAACTGGATACGTTTGTCAAATAATAATTGTAAAGTCAAAGAAAAAGGCAAAATCAAAGTTTAATTTGAGAGTGCGTGCCTATCATACACAATCACAGTAACTCTCATAAAACATGCATCATATAAAACGAAAGCAACTTACATTTATGTCAGAAAATCTGAGCTTAATTATTGGCACTTTTTTTTTTTACTAAAATAAAAACTTGGTGAAAGAAGTCTGCAATTAAAATTCCACCCGTGAAATGACCGGAAAATTGGTGCCTTTACTTACTCCTTCTTGATGGCTTTGTAGCTAGCGCAGAAACGTGTTTTTGGAGACTGATAACTTTGCTCTCCAAAGTCCCGGAACGCCGATAAATCGAAACGATCTCCCCCTCAAGTTCTTCTATGATGCTGACAGACTGCCTGGATAAATCCGAGAGCTGCCTTAGCACTGAGCACAGCGAAAAGCCGCAAACGTCCACCAGATCCGCGAATATCGCCGCTTGCCTTTTCGCGTCTCCTTTGCAAACATCTCTGGGAAGGATTGCCCTCTTACAAAAAGGCATTTTCGCCCGAGGGTACCCTTAACAAACGGTCGGTCGGCCGGCACTCCGGGAAAAGTCAAACTATTGCTGCGAAATCTTCGCCAGGAGTTGCGATGACTTTCATGTCTCTTTGCATTGTAATTAATTGTCCACTGCGCGGAGCTGTAGCTGGAGCGCTGGAGCCTTCTTGCTTTAACTTGAAACCCAAAAAGCGCTCCGGTCAAGGCCGTTCACCTATCATCAGAGAGCAAAGCATAGCCCACTCCTCCAGGAATGACTACTGAGAAAACCGTGAATGTTACAATTCTGGATGCGGCACGAAACAGAGCGATAGCAAAAATGCCCCATGCCCAAAAAAAAAGGATACAAGAACATCTTAATGTTTAAATGGAAATTACTCACAACTTCTAGTCTTACCGCATGTTAGGTTTATAACGGAAACTTAGTATTTAATACATCGTTAGAAAACTTTTTCTCAACTAATTTTTTGCGTTATTTTGCAATAATTACTGCATTATTGCATGATACACCTGTTATTTTATCAAATAATTTTTTCACTGTCGTTCATGTGTGGTTTTGTACACCACCTTCATATGTGTAGTCTTTGCTTTGTTTTTGCTCTCAAATCCAGAATCTGGAAACACTATACCGAGGTACCACTAGGCTTGGAACCTCATCGCGTTCTGCCTCTGCTTCACCTTTTTAGTTCAGGACTAATAGTCATAGCCCGTGGACCGCCTCCAGTCAACCCAAGACGTTCTGGTAGCACTGAGTTTCCGCAAGGTACAATACACCAAATTGTCACCGTGGGAAAGGAGACTCAGCAAACCCACGCGGTAGAAGTGTTTAAGGTTTATAAACACAAACGCATTGAAAGCCGTACGTGAAGAGTGAAATCCTTTAGAAATTAGCTGCAAAGAGTGGAGATAACGCCGCTGCAATTTAGGTATAGGCAGGTCCCTGTATTTAGCTCGTAGTAAATGAGCGGTGACAGAAAGAGCAGATCCTACTACCTTACGGTTATTTATGCTCTGATAGATCCTGAATTCGCTTTTGGGCGACATGACACGCAGGGGGCTACTGCGTTTTTCAGGACCATACATGTGTATGTAAACATTTAGAACTTTAGAAAGGTTACACACGGGACGAGAACATCCCGTCGTCATAACCATTAGGTAGTTAGTAGCCAATTGATCCAACAAGGGCCAGGACAATGCCTGGGTGTGTGGAGTTAAATGTGACAAACTGTGAAGCCAGCAGGGATGTTCCAGGTTGCAATGCTTGTGCTGTTGGAGCCGGATCTTTCTTCCTCATCAGCTGCCGTTTTTCTATCTCGGGAGAAAAGCCTCGTCTTAGGGAACGCGGGTCCAAGCTTCCGCGAAAACATCAAAATGAAAAACAAAAATGTGACTGGCAGTCATTTCACATGTGGAAAAAGAGCTGCACGGCTGGAACTGGCGCAGGCTGGCGTGCTCAGGGATCCACCTCAGGAACAGGACAGGCCTCCAACCCGACAGGCTGGCGTGCTCAGGGATCCACCTCAGGACAGGACAGGCCTCCAACCCGACAGGAGAGCAAGAGAGCAGAGTCCCTAGGGAACTGCCAGGCCACTGTGCAGCACCGTCTAGGCTATCTTATCACGACCGTTTTTCAGGGCTAATATGAAGTCGGTCACATGGAAGCAATTGATTAAAACCAGCTGGCTCGCCGTCCTGCGCCTGAAATCTGAATGTTTCCATTGTTTTCTGGAGGGGGGCAGCTTCATATATCTGAGAAATACACAGTCCCTCGCCTCCCATCGTTTTTGGTTCTTCCCTTTTTGAGTTCATTTCCTTTCTGGCAATTCCGAGGGCCAAAGGCATCTCCAGTATTGCTGATCTATTTGCAGACTCAGAAGACTAAGACTGCTGGGGAAAGATACTACTCACAGTTCTAAAGCAAACCTGCCCCCCGTCCAAAACGGACAGATAGATTTTCCTTAATTCTGGAAATACACAACTAAAAATAATAATTTAACAATTATCGCTTGCATCTTGCATGGGGCACAATTTTGATCCCAAGGAGCTTCACATAAAAGAGAGGATCCTCTCAATTATTGAATTGCAGCTCCCACCTGTGTGATCAGATAGAGAAGTGAGATATTTCTCTGATTATGGAGGAAGTGTAGGTCAGCCAGATTGATCATGCGTGAAATGGAGTTTAGGTTTAACATGAACATTGGAGTTAACAACCCTGCTCTTACGAATAACATCCTGGGATCTTTAATGCACACATAGTCAGTTTTGTCTCTCACTTGAGGGTTTGTACCTTCTTCAGCACAGAGTGCCTTGTCAACATACTGTGGTGCTGGTTTGGAAAGTCCAGACCAGAGGAAAGAGCACCACCTACTGGTCTAACAACACCATTTACAGCAGTAACCTGGTTTCTCTAGAAGTCTCCCATTCAAATAGTGGACAGGTTCCGTCCTCGTTTAGCATTTGAGGAGGTCAGCCAAGGAGGTGAAAATGCTCCTGGACCAAGCATCAAGAGCAGGGGTCTCAAATACAGAATAAAGGTGACCATGAGCCACTGGGACAGCAGTGCATGATATTGTCTGGCCCTTAAGGCTCCAGCTAGTATACAAATAAAATTACATGATAGCATGGGTGATATCACTTTCTAAAGCAATTCACTAATGCATTTTCCAGAGCTCAGCAAACACATTTGCCAGCGTAAAAACCAAATTACTACTACACACACTTCAGAAGTAAAAAAAAAAACACCCGTGAGGGAAGAAAGCGAACTATTTGAGTAGGGTAGCAAAATGGTTTAGAAGCAAATGTTGAAAATGTCTACCAATGCAGGGCCTATTCAAGCTGTGGTTTAAAAAATGTTGCCTTTCAATACATAGTGTGCTTACAAAAGATGACTGGTCAGTGTCACAAAAACCACACCAGTCACCCACACAGCACCGCACAAACAAATGCAGTCCCAGAGCTTCAGAAAGCTGGGGCTATCTCAGAATTTCTTAATTGACACAATTATGGCCCCAGAACCTAAGAAACCTCAATTCTAATTCTTGAGGGACACTCCCCCATTTGGTATTCTGAATCTCTCAATCTTCAACAGATTAAGACCTGAGTAACAGCATAAACCAAACCAATTATTCACTTCACTGGTCCCACAAATAACTCAAAGATAATCTGGTTTAATCTTTTCAGTCAGGGAACATAGCCTAGCCATAGAAAATGAACACAGACAGACCTCACTGTCCAGAGAAGACAGGCTCAGTGAGCACATCCTAGCCATAGAAACTGGACAAAGGCACAGACCTGGCTGCTCCGAGAGGACAGACTCAGGGACCACAGACTGGCAATAGAAACTGGACACAGTGAGACCTGGCTGCTCTGAGAGGACAGGCTCAGTAACCACAGACTGGCAAAAGAAACTGGACACAGCCAAACCTGGCTGCCCAAAGACAAAAGGAGTATACCCACTGGCAACAGGGAGAAGACAGATGAGTTTTCTTCTGCACTACAAGAAATACTCTTGAATTAGACAAACCTTTGTCTCTAAAATAATCTTATCCAAGAATTTCGACACTTGCCAGAATCAGAACAGCTTCCAGCCCTACAGATCCGAGCAGGAAAGGATGAGCTCTGAACAGGACAGATTGTGGTTGGTCCAAGGCAGCATAACAGCTCCTCCATCTGTGTGCCAGAATGTACAATGACTTTCAATTCATTGAGCAAGGCCAGGTGGAGCCCAAGTGGAGACCAACTCTCAATCCTTCTCTTGCATCCTAGAGTCCAGTAAACTTAAAAGAGAGCATGGTGTCCAGTGTCCTGTTTTGTGTGCTATAATTAGCCCAAGGACACTTGCTTTCAAGTAGAATACCTCCGAAGACAGCCCTGTGGAGCTCTGCTGGCACCCACTGGGTTATTCGGTGTGGTCTGTGATGAGTGCGTTGGCGCGAGGTACAGAAAAGCAGGCTGCGCCCAGCAGTGCCCATATGGCACCTTCCCTCATCAAGTCCTGGGAGCACACACTGCAGAACACACTTGCCGAGGGGAAAACAATGACCAGCTCCAATTTTCTTTTTCCTGCGGCGCTTCTGTGGTTTTCTTTTACAGATAGTGAGGTTATCACAAACCAATGAGCGCGCTTCGTTTTCTGCAGTTGAAAAACATACCGCACTGACGCAGCGTGGATAAAAAGCATGTTGGGAAATAAGCTTCGGAGCATTCGGAGGAACACACTTCCCCACTATACACCCGTCTGCAGGTGTTCCTGTACACAGTACCCCAAATCTATCTGCATATACAGCAGCCTCCACAGTTCCTCAATGATTTATCTAGCAAAAGATGTTTGTTGTACCTCAAGGTTTTCTAAACAAAATTTAATAACAGAAATGAATACAGTATGTAAACGTAACCATAAAAATAAGTTGTCCCATTTACATTTTCAAATGTCTTTCATGGCCTGTAAATACATTAAAAATGCAGTTCTAACCCTCTAATGTTTTTATTCACTGGTTCAGCGGACTGAGAAAAGAAGCTTCTAGAACCTTATGTGCTCCTTCATATTATAGGGGGCTGAATACAAAAGACACTCAGTACTGGGTTGACATGCGGAATGTTCTAGCGTTGTGATAATTAACCTGTTGAGAAAATGTTCAGGGATCGATATGTAGCAGAACTCCCCTGAGGCCTACTGTATCGATGGCCATTGCAGGCCACTTTTGATACACCTGTGGCAGGAGCTAGAGAAAGCTGTGCTACATGGAGGAAACAGAGAGGTGCTGCATGAATGAGTGGCTGGATCTCTCACAAGTTAAGCACTCATTAAAAGGCAACAGGAAGAGCCCAAAGCATTATGAATATATTTAAACATTTAGAAACATGTAGCTATTATAGACAGATAACTCACTTAAACTTCAGCATTTTAATCCCAAAGAATTAAATAATGTGAGCTTTCTACAATGGAAAGTACATTACCAACGAAGCGGAGAGACTTTACTAGAGGATGAATTGGTAAATCAGGTTGTGCAAACCCAGAAACCAGGAAAAAGTACCGATGCACAACTGATTACACAAGTCAACTCCTCAGTAAGACCACAGAAAGCAAGTCTTGTATACATTAGTAACACTCCAAAAATGGTGTTTTTGTAAATAACATTTTATTCAAATTTCATGAATCTCTGCTGTTTGTACAGGGCTGCCCAGTCAACGTTGGCACAGTTACTGCCCCTGCTTGGCTGCCAGCCTCTTGTCCCTCTCTTCAGCAATGGTGAGGCGGATACCCTTTCCGCGGGGCAGAGACACCCACGGCTTGTTACCCTGAAACACAAGACAGAACAGTCTTACAGCATGCACTACAGGAATATCATTCTAGCGCTCAGTGCAAGGCATCAGTCACTTGGTCAAGAGGCTTTAGAAAGAGTACCAAAGAGCTCCACTGCTCTTAGAAGCGATTCTGGAAAAATCAAGTTCTAACTACCCGTCTATTAAAAAAAAAAGACTAATAGTAAAAATAATTGATGGCGAAAAACATTGCCAAGGTTTACTTTTAAAGTCATACTTAAGATGATTTTTCAATGTTCATTAGCCTAATCTAATCATTAGAAATCAGCTGTTATTTTTATACAATAAAAACCTCAATATGATATGATAAAAAAAGAATTTGTCAACAACTTTGGCAAATACCCGAAATTCCAAACACAGCTACAACAAATGATTTCAATACAGGGATCAAACTGGAGAACTCTTGCTCCGAACGTGAAGACAAGAGGGGAGTGTATGCCACATGAAGTAATATTTAACAAGTATTAAAGCTCTGTTCCCTCAAACAGGGGACGGAGTGCCATTACACTCAGATTTACCACTGCAGAAAAACTTGCTTTAAGGACAGGTCTGTGCCTGGATAATTTTTGCAACTTTGCAGCCCAAAGCAGATGACCTGTAGCAGTTACAAATTACAAAACTAGAGAGACAGATGGCAGTGATTACCACTCCAGTAATCAGGTCTGTTCCATTTAAGCTACTGAGTCAAAATAGATCAGAGACTGTCCAGAGGTCCCTCTTGTCTCTCAAAGAGAAATCTATTATCACACTAAATAACTGATTAATGTATATAGATTTTTGCAGCTATTCTTAACTTGTAAGCTCCCTTAAAGAGCCCTACCAGACTATCAAATTAAGTTCACAATTCTATATGTACACCCCTACTGGGTAGCTCTGCAGGAAGCCTCACCTTGCCAATCACAAAAATGTTGGACAGCCTGGTGGCAAAGCTGTTTCCAGTGCTGTCCTTGACATGGACCACATCAAAAGACCCAGGGTGCCTCTCCCTGTTGGTGATCACACCAATTCGGCCCAAGTTAGCACCCCCAGTCACCATGCACAGGTTACCTGCAGGGAAAAGCAAACAGTTAGTGACAGGCTTTTTTTTCCATCTCCTGTGAAAAACCAAGTTCTGGTCACAGGAGATGCTCCTGAGCCTTCCACCTTTGATAACCCTTCTCAAACCGAATCGAGAACTGTCCAAGCCCACAGCGTGTCTAAAAAACCATCAAAGGCTTTTCAAATGTAGTCAGGGTGCTGTCCATTCTCATACTCAACATATATAAACTGAAACCTTAACATGCCTGTTTAGTTACAAGTGCCACAAAAAAGTGATCACTTTATTAGTTATATACAATTTATTGCATTAGAAATTTGTCTTTTTACATACTCCAGCTTGCTCTCCATGAGATACAGAGGCACACAGACGGGGAGAGAGAAGCTTGGGGTCAGAGCGCAGGGTCACCCATTTATACAGCAGCCCTGGAGCAGCTGGGGTTAAATGCCTTTCAAAGGGGCCCAACGGAGTAGGATTCCCCTGCCAGCCGCGGGATTTGAACCGGCAACCTTCCATCCACAGGCGCAGATCCTTAGCCACAGTGCCACTGCTCCGCCTCAATGACCAAAATGACCAAGTGGCTCTAACAGATCCTATTTATGAAGTGCTACCAGGCCAGTAAAGAGGCACAACTGATACTCAACTCGAGCTCCAGACTCTTATAATACCACAAGTCATGACACGGCATGTCAAATAACTGAAGCAAAGCTTTCGACAAAAGAATATTACATCTTAACAGAAACACACTAATCGTGCTTCTACTGCAGAGGATTTCAACACTTCAAACAGTGCAACAAATAAAACATAAACTCAAAAACAGTTAGACAATAGTCGTTTGAATATGTATATACTGTAACCTTTAGTATATCTGATTCAATTTTAAAAAATCCAAGAACCATTATACACATTCCAAGGTGAAACATACATGTATAATTTAAAATGATTCTCCAAATTGCACCAGACATTCCTTAAGAGAGTCAAGGTTCCCAAATCACCCAACTGATTTCATTGGCAAAATAACTTCATACACATGTAATAACCCACATTAGGTTTAATGACTTGCATAAAGCCCACATTCAGGGTGTTCTTAGATATAAAAAATAACCTTTCAAACATATGCAAAGGCTCTGAAACACCTTTTCTAATGAATCTTTAAACACCAGTTCTTTTGCATTCTATGAGATGGCTCTTTTCTACCCTCAACTCTTGCATGGAAGAATAGCATTACCATCCACTTTAAAGAGATCTGTGAGTTTCTCTACCTAGTCAGGGGGGTACCATCAAAACTGATGTTGGAAACATTTCACTCCTGAAGTGGCCGTAACATAACTATTTCAACTCTAGTGGGATTAAATCCCACTTAACATCAACATTTAACAGCAAAAACATCCAAAAGAATTAAAACACAGCTTTCTGAAAGCATTTTGTTTCCATCTGAGGTGCATCAGGAAAGACCGCAGCTGTGTGGACACTGGATCCATAAGCTGTATTAATTAGAAGATATCAAGAATGGTTCAGAAACAACAGGAGGCAAAATGCCTGAGCCCCAGTAAGGGCCTGGACTCGACCCCGCTCCCCTTTCCCCAATTACCTGTGTCGAACTTGATGAACTCTGTGATCTTGCCCGTCTCCAGGTCAATCCTGACGGTGTCGTTCACCTTGATGAGGGGGTCAGGGTACCGGATGGTGCGGGCATCATGGGTCACCAAGTGGGGAATGCCCTTGGTGCCGATAATGATCTTCTTCACTTTGCACAGCTTGTACTGAGAGGCAGAACGTTTCCGCATTAGGGTTTCAACATGAAAGGCAAAGATGAGCACAAGGATACAACTGCAATTGTTGAACACAGCTGCAAAAAACCACGATCGCTCTTCAGAAAAAAATTGTCAACTTTTGTTCTCTGACCTATGAAAAGCATGAACAGCTGATTAAGAAGCCTTTCGGTATTTCAGAGGAAAAGATGAAGCTTGATCAGCTATTTAAGACCTTTTCATCACACCAAAATCAATAACTTTATCAGCATGTTAACTGAGTATAATACACAGTCTGCATGGCCAAACGATCATGCATCTGTCCATGGTGCAAAAAATTCACTTTCTACTATCAACACACAAGGTTCAGAAGCACCGTGAAGCACAGCATATAATGAACATTCCATTGTGAGACTTACCTATCAACACAACATCAAGTTTAAAGAAATATAAAGATAAGCGCACCCCTTACTGCTCCAGGTGGCACTGACCCAAAACTCACCTTGGCTTCCTCAGCCGTGATGCGGTGAACAGTGAAGCGGCCCTTGACATCGTAGATCAGACGGAAATGCTCTCCCGTCTTCTCAATGCTGATGACATCTGAAGCCAAACACAATGGGTTCAGCAAACAGCAAGCCCAGGCCCCTAGAGTTTCATTATATTACACTGCCTAGGAAAGCACTTCAATCGCTGGATACCACAACACAAACGGCAACTCCCAGCGCATTCTTATTAATATTGACCATCACTGCTGACAGGATTACAAAGTGAAGTGAATTTTACTAAAACACAGGCGGCACCCTGTTTAAACCAGCACGAACACCAGTAATGCAACAATTCCTCCTAATAAAATAATTCAGTTAAACAAATCTATCTTTGTAAACAAGGGTTTAAATCCTTGCGACTACAAAAAAAACTACAGGAGGCTTAATACAAAAACTATAAATACTGCAAATTACTGATGCATATTTCATCATTAGTAGGTATCAAACTTAATCTAACTTCTGTCCCAGATGTTCAGTGCATTAAAACAGTTTCCTGGGTTTTCCTCTGACACACTAATTTGAAATTGCAATCGCTCGCAGTTTGACGTTAAATGTTTTCCACCTGAATTTTTCCAATAGCAATACCAACATGCTCAGTTAATTAAATCCACCCTCAAACAATCAGGAGTTCTTCTACGAGCGAGCTGTGCCAGTGTGCATGAAGAGAGGAAGGGTAAGAGCTGCATCAAAGTTCCCCTGCAGTGATTTTCAAGTTTAAGATGTTGTACAAAGAAGCTAGATGTACTGAAGCCAATGAAATCCATGCAAGAATAAAGTACTTAATTTAAAAAAAGGCTTCTATGATCAGAAGTTTAAAAACATCAGGAATATCAAAATCCGCTTCCACGAACACTCCAGAGACATGAAGAAAAAGTCCAGCAGCCTTGTCCTGGGCCGCGCCCGGCACACTCACCCATGAAGCCGGTGGGGTAGGTGATGTCTGTGCGCACCTTGCCGTCGATCTTGATGAACCTCTGCATGCAGATCTTCTTCACCTCGTCTCCGGTCAGGGCATACTTCAGCCGGTTCCTCAGGAAGATGATGAGGGGGAGGCACTCCCTCAGTTTGTGGGGGCCAGTTGAGGGGCGAGGAGCCTGCGGAACACGGCCGAACGAGGACTCAGCAAGACGCGTCTCCACATAGACACACGCCGACGGACAAGTTCCAAACCCTCTAGTAAAAACCCTCATGGTTCAAGGCGCCTCTTCAACCCGGCTGTGATGCCGATTAAACCACAAAGTGGCGTGCACAGTCCTGGACATGCTACAGAACATTTTTAATATGCATTTATTTTAGGTTGAGTGTTGTTTCTGCAGTTTTTGCAAAAACAAATGGTATGGCTATGCTGAAGACAAATTTCTACCCTTTTTAATGGACTATTAAGCTTTGTTTTACAGTAGGCTGAGCAGTAATTTCTACTCTGGCTTGAATGTCACTTTCTTCAGTATTTCAGACACCTGAGATCCACAGGTCACTTCAGCATCGATCCTATAACACCCCCTCCACTCCTGCGGCACTAACATGTGAGCATCCTGTGGTCACTTACAAAAACTCCCGTGAGCTTGTCCAGCATCCAGTGCTTGGGAGCTGCGACGCGCTTCAAATGTTTCTTCGGTCCTCGGGCCTGAAAGAACAAAGAAAAAAACACTTAGCATTTTTAATAAGTTACAACCGGAGTAGCCAGGGCGACACGACAGGAAAGACCCGACTTTGCCCAGAACCCACATCTATTGCTTTTCTAGAACACAATGAAGCAGTAGGTTTCCCATGTGTGTAGTCCACCCTGTGGGTTAACAGACTCTAAATGAGGTCTTATCCTCATTAAAAACCTGTCTATAGTCACACAGCAAAAGCTGAAATCGCTACCGGCCGGAAAACTAGCAACCACGTTTATTTCATAACTCGTAACAAACCGTATCTCGATCGAATAATCCATGCAGTTATGGATCCAGAATTTTCTCCCTGCTCATTTTCTGGCCACGACTCGAATCCGCTATAGGCCAGCTTCTCACACAGACTGATCTGCTACCCTATGGCACCACGCGATTACATTATTTTTTGATATTCGTGCAAAATACCTAACGACAAACCCAACCAAAACGAAAACCAGGGCTGTGTCGTACTCTGCCTTTACTACTGCCCTACTGTACTCACGACAAACCGCCATACGAGGTAACACTGTGGCGTCCGCCGGCATCTTTCTTTTCAAGGCTTTTTTCCAAATCATCCACAGCATCAAATCTTAAAATACCGGGCGATCGCATAGCTACAAACACTAAAGTCGTGATTGTTGCACTTCGATTAAGGGTATTGAACAGAAAAAACAAGATGTTTATGGGTTAAGTGTTAGGAGACCAAGAGTAAAACTGTCCTCACCATGGCGGTGTCTGCAAGGAAAAGGACCTCCTACTTCCAGGCCGACACGGATAACGAGGAAGGGACGGGTGCCGAAGAGGACCATACCACGCCAGGCCCGCAACAGGACACACCGCCGCCTAGCGGGGATGACTGCGTGTTCGTATACAAAACTAGCCCTGCTAATCCTTCCTGTTCACAGTGTAAGGTTGAACTACATTTAAAAAGTCCATTACAGTTACAGTTTACTTGGGGACGGTTTATTATTTCCTGTCGTTCTTAATTGAAAATATCTGCAGCGAGAGTGTGTTTGCTCTCATTACAGTTCAATGTAACGTATCAGTTTATCATCAGTACACGTTTACTTTGGGAGGAGTACTTGCACATTTAAACCGAAACGGCAAAATTAATCACTCTTAAGCGCAGTATTACATATTACTGCCTTGTGTGCTTCTAATAACTGTTCTATGTCCTGGTCCTGCTGTCCAGTCACTAGACGGGAGAGAAAACCTCATCCAGCTGCTTCATCCTCCTCTGCCTCCTGGAGGGTGCAATCTGGCAATGGTGCATGGCACCATATTCACCACCAGCGAAACCGAAACAGCAGGTACTAACCGTGATATCGGATATCTGATTAAGGACTGATCAATTCCCTGGTCGTTCCCAGGAAGCTGCAGCTTGACATCAGTGGGGAAATCCATGGCACACCACTGCACCAGCGACACCTTGTGGCCACGTATGATCTGTGCTCCACTTGGTCTGCCATTCCTAAGGGCTGTCACCTCGCTGGTCAACATCAGCATCCTGGACAGCCTCTTCACCCCCCAGGACCATCACCACCCCTCAACACAGGCAGCAGTGAAGCTCTACTCTTCTCAACCACAAGGCGTTAAGACTTCACCGTGCCTCTGCTCGGTGCTGAGAGATTTCATCAAACCCTATGAAACAGCATTCGTGGGCACTGGGCACAAGGTTACACATTTCAAGAAACCCCTTCTACTAAAAGGAATAAAACACAAATGAGGGTTAAAACACAGTAAATTGCTGTGGGTAAGGTTTGTTTTATATATACTGTGTGTTTGACAAAGTATCTTATGGTTATGTGCATGTGACTGCAGACTTAAAGCCACCAGCCATATCACCCTGCAACTCACAAGTGGCAACCCACTGAAGCTAAGCACGTGTGAGCCTGGTCATTACCTGGATGGGAGACCTCCTGGGAAAAACTAAGGTTGCTGCCGGAAGAGGTGTTAGTGGGGCCAGCAGGGGGCGCTCACCCTGCAGTCCATGTGGGTCCTAATGCCCCAGTATAGTGACGGGGACACTATACTGTAAACAGGCGCTGTCCTTCAGATGAGATGTAAAACCGAGGTCCTGACTCTCTGTGGTCATTAAAAATCCCAGGGCATTTCTCGAAAAGAGTAGGGGTGTAACCTGGCCGAATTTCCCTTTGGGCCTTACCAATCATGGCCTCCTATTAATCCCCATCTATGAATTGGCTTCATTACTCTGCTCTCCTCCCCACTGATAGCTGGTGTGTGGTGAGCGTTCTGGCGCACTATGGCTGCCGTCGCCATAGGTGGATGCTGCACATTGGTGGTGGTGCACAAGCGCTTTGAGTGGAGTGTCCAGAAAAGTGCTATATAAGTTAAAGAAAAATAATGCGAATAATTTTTCAGTTTGTAGAAAGAAACTGCTTCTACAAACTGGCTATCATAAGCATGATGTAAGAGACAATTATGGAATAAGAGATAATTATGGAATGACAACTATGGAATAATTTACAATATTCAAAGTTTTAATGAAAGTCAGAGGTAGAAGTGAGGCAAATTAACAAATTAACCAAATTATGCTTGTGGGATGGGTCAGTATTGCTGCCTCACAATGCTGTGGCCATGGGTTCAATTCCTCGGGTGTTTGTTTATTCCCCCTGTGTTCGGGTGGGTTTCCTTATGGTGTTCTGGTGTCCTCCCACAGTCCATAGACATACTGGTAGGTTAATTGGCTTCTAGGAAAATTGGCCCTGGTGTGAGTGTGGTCCTGTTCCTTTCTGTGTGCCCTGCAATGGACTGGCATCCCATCCAGGGTATACCCTGCCTTGCACCTGCTGCTTATCAGGATGGGCTCCAGCTCCACCACGACCCAGAATTGGAAGAAGCAGTTAGAAAAGAAGGGTATTGAGTGGGCTGTTTCCATCTCCAAACTGTCAAGCACCATCCATTCGCAAGAGAGAATTAGACAGTATAGAAAGTATAGTGTTTTTCAACTGATACTTTATAACTCACAACTGTGAAAATAATTAGAAACAAAACTGGCTGATTAAAATCAGCAAACATCACCCTTACTTAATTAAGAACTCTGGAGTGACATGACACCTTGCCAGGATCAATGGTTTGGTCCAGGTGCAAACTATGTTTTGAGAAGTATTTTCAGATTTCCAGGAGTTTTAGTAAATATACCATATAATCCATCTCTATAAACCAATAGAAGACATATAAATTAAAGAAACGGAAACAGCAAATCATATGAACTTACATAAAAGTTATATGAGCTTTCATGTCATTGGGATTGTAACATCATGGGCCATTAATTTATTTTTATTTATGCCTTTTAAAAGGACAGTTCTAGGAGTGGGATGTCTTAATGGTGTTTTGTTTTCTTCGGCAAGTATTTCTGTCAGGAAATACCAGCAAGAAGAAACAAATTTCTCGCATTTACATCTAGTAGAGAAAAAAAACAAAACAACAAAGAAACTCAACCCAAGTCTTTCAGTTCTTTTGCCAGGAATAAGACCCTGCAGCTGCTAGAGTCATGAAATGTAGGAGCGCTCTGTTTCTCATGACTCGAGGTCGTCAGTCGCTGTTGTCATACATTTCTGAAGCTTTCACATGTGCGTTATAAGCCGCACAGAAAATCCCGCTGTTCTTTAGGGAACGCCTACTGCATCTCAAATGATCAATGTTTTCTAAGGTACAAAGGCAAAGTCATTTCATTTGCCAAACCGCTTTATACAATACAGTGTCGCAGGAAGCCGGAGCCTACCCAGCAAGCAACGAGCGCAAGGCAGGGTACACCCTGGACAGGGCGCCAGTCCATCACAGGGCAAGTGCAAGCCAATCATACATGGGGACAATTTGGAGGCCACGGTAAAGGAAATTTTAATCAAGAAATGCCCGGGAAACTTTAATGGCCACTGAGAGTCAGGACCTTGGTTTAACGTCTCATCCGAAAGATAGCGCCAACTACAGTAGTGTCCCCTCCAATATGCTGGGCCTTAGGACCCACACAGACCACAGGGTGGGCGCCCCCCGCTGGTCCCACTAACACCACTTCCAGAAACAACCATAGCTTCCCAAGACATCTCCCATCCAGATACTGACCAGGTTCACACCTGCTTAGCTTCAGTGGGTGGCCCGTTGAGAGCTGCAGGGTGATACGGCTGCTGGCACAAAGGCAAAGTGAAAAATAAAAATACCTGGACATCTTGAGAGACTGAGAAAACAAGCTTGAGAGAGAGGAGAAAGAACGGAGCTATAGGAGTGACCTGTTCCAACATAAGCAATCAAAGCAGAACGCAGAGCACAAGCTCCTTAGATACAGCAGTGTGTGTCCCATGTTTAGAAGTGAGTGGGAAATGGTAGCATAACAAACCAGACACAGTTCCCCAACTGTGCTGTCAAGCACCTCTGGCGTTCCCTTGAGTTGCTAGTCGGTGTGATAATTCTTCACTTAACTGGACTGACATAAAATATATTCATTTTAAAACAGGTTTAAAACATTTTTCTTCTAGGTTCTCATCCAAGCTAGTCATTCCAAATTTCCGGGCTTTGCAATTCAAGTGCCTGTTGTTTTTCATTCAGTCTCAATTGACCAATGTGTAGTTGATCAGACTAGGGGTCTAAAGCTCATTTCCTGGTATCTTCTGGTTTTTATTTCACGCTGAGCTGAACTAATAAACATTTTTAATAGATAAAGTATGTTTCTTAAGATCATTTTCCCCACTTAATTACTATTAATAATTCACTTAATTAAAAGTGCAGTGACCAGCTTAGACGTATTAGTGTTATGTACAGTAGGTCATACTGTGTGGGAAAAAAATTGTAGTGGGAAAAAAAGACAGGTTCTCCAGGAGTTTGACATGCCCAATTAGTTTTCTGCACCTAAATATTGCAGTTTTCAAAGTCTATTTACAGGTAAATTAAAAAAAAAATTAATTACAGAGCTTAAAATTCTGAAACGTGAAAACAACCATTATTAATGCACTGCTTATTGCTTGAATTTCACAGCTGAAAACCATTCATCATATGTTTGAATTACTTGGGCTCACATCTGGTTTTTACTCTAATTTCACTCTTGGTGAAACATGGCTTAGAATATATCTTAGTAAGCTAACAGACTTTTGACCCAAGCATAACTGGATTTAACAAGAGACCCTTGGTGATCTCCTGTTAGGATTTGTCACATTTGTTAAATGTATGTATGTTTATACAACTACCACAAGACGGCACTGTAGCACACCGTAAGAGCTCAACCCATCCAAATAAGTAAAGGCTCACAACATTGAAACGATCCAATTTACAGAACGTGTTGCCTCAAGTTCCAGGAATGTTAATGACATCATAAAGTCTTGTAATGATTGTATGAGCTGCATTATAGCTATTCTCTTTTTTTTCCCCCTCTTGGCACAACAGCAACTTGCAGTGAGAAACTTAAATGCGAGTTCAGGCTGTCCTAGATTACATTCATGGTTTCTAATGAATCATAACGCGCTTCGGGTGTGTTGTTTTGTTTTGTTTTGTATTTCAATTTTTTTTAAAAAAAAAAATCTTGTTTTATCAGTCTGCTGGTACTTCCCAGTCTCCCCTTTCATTTTACAAACAATGTTTCAATAAGCACTTTTCACTCACTCTTTAAAACATAAGCTACGAATGCAGCTGACCTTGACAACTTCAGTTAATCAGAACACAAAACTTGTGTGCTTGGATTTTGGTGACGGGAGACATGAAGTAAAAAAAAAAGGCAGCACGACAAGAAAACGTTCTTCTGTATTTGCATATTTATTTCCCCATAGTGCAGAAAATAAAATACAGACTTTTAAATAGGACCCAAGAATTTACATCTTTCCACGGACGTACAGAAGAACAGAATGATAACAAAGTGCTGAAAAACAAAAGACTGGACAATTCTGTCCATAAATCAAGGTAATTTACTGGACAAGGGCTCCCCCCACCCCGACCACAAACATTGTTTAAAGAAAAAAAAAATGAGACACTCAGTCACATCTTTAGGAAAAACAAAAAAATCCCCCCTCCCCAGGAAGATAAGGGAAATGAGTGCTTATTGTTTTGTATTAACAGACTAAGCAACTAAAACAAAGCACTTCCTGAAATGCCAGTTTTATTATTTTGGAGGGAAGAATATTAAAGATCCTTAACACCTGGCCCCAACACAAAGGCAGGGGAAGTCCAACATGTCCTAACCTTGTTGACACAACAGCATTAGCGCAGTCCCGGGTTGAAGATACTGAAGTAGATTCCGACAGGGCTGGGATAGCTCACCTTTACAGAAAGCAAACCGCAGGTCCAAGCCAGGACCCCAGAACAAACTGAACCAAAAAGAGCGAGGAATGGAGTGCACCACAGCTGAAAAAGGAGACACGCTCTACAGGCGAGGACCTTTAAAAGTGTTCAGCGGAGTGCCTAGCAGTGTGCCCGTTATTGTGCGAGAAGAAAGGGGGTGTGCTCTGTGGTCACGATCCAGGTTTTAATTGTAACGCTCTCGGGTTCACGTGGGTATGCGCCCTCGCCGCTGCCTCCTCAGGTCGGCCCCCCACCTCCGGCGTCACTCAACAGGGACCCAGCCAGTTGAGCTAAAGAGAAATCTCCCGTCAGCCTGGCGGATGAGGTCCCTGCTATTTACAGGGAAGGGCGGGGACGTCACCGTGCTGGTACGCCAGCTCGCACAACCTGCAATGTCGGCCGAATGCGTTACATCATTTTTAGCAGAGGGCTGGTGTTGTGCGTTTTTTTGTTAAAATAAAAATGGGCCGATTTTTGTTGACTGGAGATGTACACCTGGAAAACGGAACCTCCTTTTATCTCCTGCTGCCTTCACGAGCATCAGACAAAACAAGCCCTCTGCAAAAAATTACAGCCTGGATCCTGCCCACAGCGCACACACACTCACACTTTCTGCTGTCAGTGTTCAGATGTGCCTTTAAACTTCGCAGGAGTATATACAATTTCTGTAAATAAGATGGTTTTATTTTTTTGGTTTTAATTGTTTTAACTTTAACTGAGATTTCGCAGGAAATCCCTAAACGAAGCTTGAAGCTGCCCCACGACGGGAATCCAATTTTCCACCCTGTTGCTCTGACGAAGGTCTTTGCAAATTAATGAGCAGTGACAGTCCAGCAGTGGTAACAGCTATCTGTTTTAGGGAGAGAAGGGAGAAAACGACCAGCCTGGTGCTCTTCCAGAATTACACAGCCATGGGAAGGCAGTTGGGAAAAACAGACGCCATTCTCATTAATTTATAAACTGGGGATCAAATTCTCCTGTGTTCCTTGAAGCTGTTCCAAAGCAGAATACGAGCCCAGTCTTACCAAAAGCCAGGCCGATACACAGGGGGGCCTTAAACTAGGAGGGTAACTGAGCTGGCAGAAGACAGCTTCTCAAGGCATCTCCTTCAGTTACCAGACTGAAACGCCATCCTCCGAGACAGGCCAACCAAACGCTCAAGTGAACGTCCACACTTCAGATCCGGTTCTATTTCCTGCGTCATATACACACCTGTGGCCAGAGCAGCCACTGTCTTGGCAAATTTACATAACCTGTTCACCAAATCTTCCTGAGCACTGTCAGAAAAGATCACTAAATAAAATAACCTCCATTATTCTTTTAACCACTTTCTATACCAATGCCAAGCTTTAAATATTGTAGCTGGCAATGCAGATAAGGCTTGGTAGTGTAGTGCTTTAAAGTAAATTATAGAAGAAATAACTTCCGGGAGCTATTCTGTTTTCACAACAACGGGTCACCTGCAAATAATGTGATTTTGCAAACTCTCAAGAACATCTCAAGCTGCCTACACACTTACTGCTTGAATGTCCCGAATGCTGGAAAATCAATTACTACAGCTACGATTCCTTTTTTTTGCCAACTATGTCGTCTTCAATGTAAGAGAATCAGAACCTAATTTCCTTCCCCTACTCAGGTCTTTAAAAGACATCTCAGAAGAGCTGAGACAGTGGGTGTGTGACCCCCATTTGTTTTAATACATATATAGGAAGACACTTCAGGACAACCTTTGACATTCAAGAGCCTCTCTCACAGTGTTACAGGTTGAGAGACAAAAGCCTAAGTCCCCAGCTGGATCATTACTACCTCAAGTGAGAGCATCAGCTCCAGGGCATGTTGAGGAAAACCATTTTTTCCACACGAGCCCTGCCTGTCCTGAGGCACAAGGCCCAAGTGCACACACTCATAAACACCCGAGACAAGGGCAAATTCTTGAGCTCTCAGCACAACACTGACTGTCCAACAGGGGCATTAAAAGTAGCTTGGGAAAAGCGACAGTTAAAAGCACGCCCACTCAATGACAACATCTCGAGAAGAAGAAATCTGCCTTTGCACAGATTTCAGCAGCAGAACGGGAAGTTCACATTCAAGTCTGAAGTAAAATACCAACAACAACAACAAAAAAAAGCAAAGGATCTGCTTGCCACATTCTTCAATATTTTATGTTGAGGGACCCAAACCAACAGCCAGAAATAGAATCCTTGAACATGTTTGTCTCAAATACATCTAGCACTCAAGTTTTAGAATATAGATTTGCAAAAGTCTTTGAAGATGCACAAGGTAGAAGACCCTCATTAGTGGATTTCAGGTAGAATAAGTCAGATTTCAAAATGTCATTGTCCTTAGTGCTGGTTTTATAGGAATTTACAAGTGTAGTGCAGCTATTCCCCTCCTGTTTTTTATTTGAATGGTTTTTGGTTTCCCACTGGGTCATTGTGCTCAGAAGCCAGTGTTCGAGATGACGGGATAAATCTTGTAGCACTAAATCAGTTCTTCCAGATAGAAAGGAAACCCCAAAGGCAAATCTTCAGGAAAGCAGAGAAATCCTACAGGATGTCCAGAACCTTTTCAATAGTTTCCTCTGCGGTACAATCCCATACTGATTTTTGGAGGCCATGACGAAACGCCTGAAGGCTTGTTTGGGTGGGAACCGTTCCAAGTTTTTAAAAACGCTCTTGACCCCATTGAAAACACCTCCTTCCATAACGTTTTTTGTCCACAACGGCGTAGTTGCAAGTTTGCACTCAAAAGTCCCTCGATCCACAAACATGGCAAAATGAAGAAGACTCAAAGCAACAAAGAGAAGAGGAGGCAGCAGCGTGCCTGTCACCACAGCTCGTCATTTCAACGTCTCTGTCAGATAATCAGAGGCACGGGACTAAAGAACACAAAACAGACGGCAGACCACTCGCTCGGCTTCTTATCGGCTGGTGGGGGCAGCTGCCACGTCAGCTAGCCGAGACGTCGGAGATGAAGTCAAACTCGTTCTGACCCAGCCAGAGCTCTGGCAGCTCGTTGGCCCGGTCCAGACCCAACTCCACGACCAGGGACATCAGGACCTCCTCGTCGACAGGGTCCAAGTCAATGATGCCGGGACCCAGGGTGCCCCCAGAGGTTGCCAGATGGCCTGGGCCCAGGCTGGCGGTGCTATAAGTCTTCGGGGGGCCTGCTGTGGGGGCTGCTGCATTGGCCAAGCTCTGGTAGTGGCTGTTGAGTTTCTGGAGCTGCATGCTGGCCAGGAGGTGGGGTCCTGCAGGCAGGGTGAAGGACTGCGCAATGCCAGCAGGGGTGGCATGCATGCTTGCTGGGGTGAACTGACTGTTAGTCTTGCTGGAGCCTGGGTAGTGGAGAATAGTGACAGCCTCACGGTCCTTCATGATTCGACTAGAGTAGAGCAGGGAGCTCATGGCCTGGGCAGACCTACAAGAGAAAGGTAGCAAGGGGGTTATACAAAGGAGGGAGATCACCTGCCTTGGACTCTTAAAGGCAAAGGCATTGGTAGATATAATCCCCGAACAGAAATGTAAAGCTCTTCACCAGAGGGAGACATTCATCGGAGTTTTGGTTTGGTGAAACATCTCAACACATGGACACATGCCGAGCGGATATATGGGAAGAAATTCTGGAAAATTCCATCTGCCCATGAAAAGAAAATAGTACGATTTTACCTCACTCAATCACCTTCAGAAGACATGAAAACCTTCCTTAATAATCTAGAAAGGCAGGCCGTTAAAAAGCAGACAAGAGGGCAGAGGAAAATCTGTGTTCCTCAGTCCGATTCTAGATCAGTTGCATTGGTAAAGATATAGTTCAATTTTTAAGACTTAGTCATTTTTACTATATCCCTTCTCTGAGTCCAGCAATCCCACTAAAAAAAAAACAGCACCTGCTACAGTTCTTGTGCCTATGAAGGACATATATTACCACTTCTTGGCCACTCTAAAAGAAAAAAAGAAAGTCATCAGCCTACAGCTTTTCATCTTTTCATGGCAGGATCACACAGGGGCACTAGCTGGATTTAAATGCAGAGCGATCACGAGCAATGCCCAGATAGCTCTGTGTGGTCCCCAGTCCCACTACAAGAAGAAAGTACTCAAGTGACCAAAATTAAAGGCAGGGTTATCTTACCCTCTCCAGAGGGGAACCTTTCCTCTGAACATCACGCTAGCCATCACTGCCATGAGGCATGCCTTTGAGAAATGTAATCACTTAATTAAGCCAGCAACTCCTCCCCGCCTCCACAAGCCCAGCTCCCCATCTGGGGTCAGGGTAATTGCTAAAGGCTGGGACACAGCTGTAAACCTTATTCAGAGAGAGGCGGCACGGTCAGGCCCCACAGTTCTCTCCCTCGCATCCAGGGGCTCCTGTGTGCTGTGTGCAGGGCACTGGGCAAGGGTGATACAGCCGGCAGAGCTGTCCTGGTGCTGGAACCCCTTGACAGCCATTTAACAAACACACAACCATCAGGGCACTTCCAAAGGACATCTGAAGAACAGTTAAGGCTTTGTATCTGTGGAAGCCAGTCTCCAGTTCCCCCCCCCAAGAACTCTGCAAAGGCCAAATTCAGCAGCAAAACCTGAAAGGATTACTTTTTTATTGTAAATCAACTATACAATCATGTTAATTAGTGGAACACCTTTGAATCATCCAATTTACATGTCTCTCAGACCCTAGAGAAAATGACTATTGCAGACTCCTGAAAGGACCGTTCTAGTCCCTTCAGTGCTTGCTTAGCAGATTGGGAATGAATTCAGTAACGCATTCACAGAGCTGGCTGGAACAGACCTGCACAGAAGCTAGGAGCTCCGCATCTGTACCTCTGATGTATACTTCAGACACACATACACACACTTGTGAGGGCAGCCCTGTTGGAATTCTACAGTTCTTACAAGGGGCTTGACACAAAAAGTGCTTCTAGCCAGCAGGAAACACATACATTACACACACACTACATATATATATATAACTGTGCTGTTTGTGCAGTTACTTAGAACTTTAATGCAATGGGACTACAGGAATGAAGCCCCCCAATGGAATGCTCTCAGGATCAGGGTTGGACTGATCTTTCAGTGAGCATCTCATGAATTAGTCCTAACAGCTCACACTTCCATCTGTGAAGGGCTTGTGGTTTCCACGGGGAGACCCCAGTACAGTCATTCCCCTCCCCCCACTAGTGTGCCATGCAACCTGTCAGCTAGATGAAGCAGTACAGTATCTACAGGTGCCTACACTTCCAGGCAGAGCGCCAGTATTCTAGCATGGCGGCGGAACTTACATAAACGGGTTTCATTACGTGGGCACTCATGGGACCTTACAACTATGAAGCTACAAGCTGCATAAACCCCTATTAACTTAATGAGCGATGCTAGATATCGGACGGCAGTACACTGCAGAGGCTCTTTACTCATTCTGTAGCTCCATCTCTGGAGGAGTAATCGGATTTTCACAGCTCTTGCCCCCTCGGGTATCCAGTTGAAATGGAATAAGTAAATTGCCGTGGTCACAAAGGGCAACAGTTCTCGATAATTTCCCAGTGAAATGTTTAATTAAAGAAAAGGGACTTACAATTTGGACAACTGAACATCTGGAAGTGCTCCCCAAGTTACTAAACGAACCTTCGCCTGCGAGTGTGTGTTTTGCTCTTCGTGTGGCTCTGGTAAAAACAGTCTCCTCGCCCGGTCCTGCGCGAATTGGCTGTGACAGCTGAGCGACGTTTGCGTTTTAGGTTAATTGACAACCCGGAACGACGATTAATACCAATTAACGCAAACTGCAACCAAAACAAATGGCAACGTATAATACATTTTTACAAGTTCGTCTGGGTATTTCGATAGCCCTGCCTTTTCAAATGAGGGCGCATTCTGAGCCCAGCAGATTGCGTT